AGAAACCTCATTTCACATTTTTTAAAGCTTTTAACGGCCCATACTAGCCAAAACCTTCAAACTATAGATACTTATGCCTCACTTCAAAAATTGCGTGCCGAACATTGAGATAAATTAGAAATCACTACACTTCACATATATTGTTAAATCTTCACTTGCTTTAGCCATATTATTGAAAAACATCAAATCCACAAAAACCAAACACTAAAATACTTACTTCTATAGTATTTGTCAGAGTTTTGAAGATCAAGGAAGGAGATCGGAGTTCCGCTTGTTGGAGAACGAAAAGCTTTCAGAGATCAACAAGAGATGGACGAATCAGACGGTCAGGAGCTTGTGCAAAAATAGAAATTCAAAAAGTCACAATTTGCTGAAAATTTAAAGGACAATTCCTTTTTAATTAATTATGTTAGTTGCGTTTTCAATTAGACTTTAATCGTGTTTCGCCTTATTTTTACAATTTTTTATTGAATTGTTTAGGGGCTTGTAAGCTTTTCAATAAACGCCAAGATTAGGTGTCATTATTTGTGAGCTTTTGATTATTAAATAGAAATAATTTGAGATTTTCACTTTTGTCGATTGTTCATTATTTAGTTGAATAAACGAATTCTTAATATTTCAAATCCTCGATATTTAAAGAATCAACGAGAGTAATTCTCAATATTGTAAAATATTAAGGAGCATTTCGAACGTGTTCTGTATTAGTAGCCCTTGTTTGATCCCCATTTTTGGAGAAATAATGCATTTGAATAGTAGATTGATAGAGAATGTGTGGTTAAAAATTAAAAAAAAAAGTTTCGAATTTGCACACAGTATTATTTTATTGAAGAATGTGTGGTTAAAAATAAATTTTGAAAAAATAAATTTTTAGAAGAATGAGAATCAAACAAGGACTAAATTTCACCTGCATCACCAACAAATAAGATTTTAATTTATTTTTTCCTTTATTTAATCTAATGTAACCACTGTGGCAAAGGAAGTTTATGTAAATAAAATAACTCATTGCATCTACTTGATCAACATGTTAATAAAGGGACAAAACACAAAAATAAAAAATAAAAATCTTCAAGCCCACTTGAAAGTTATTATGAAAAAAGCCATTGAATGAATAATCAAGATCAAAGAGGGACTACCTGTTTCGAGAAAGAAATTTGACAACTACTCCCATTTGGCGGAAAACTCCAAACTCTATAATTCCAAAGGCATATTTTCCAAGATGCAAAGCCAGCTTGACTCTCATATCCAGATTTCATTTCCAAGCAGCCCACGAGGTTTCATCAATATTTATTCCATTTCATCAAGGAAAACTGAAAAATAAAAAATAATCTTTCGAGAAAATTGCAGCAGAGGTATGGTCTATATGGACTTGACAAAAAGTTTGTTCTTACATAAAGCTTTCATTTGATTTCAGCATCATATTTCTGTTGCAGTGTTAGTCTCAATGGACGGTTTCTATCCAATTTGTAGGTAAATGGCAATTATACCTTTATTTCTAGTATAAAAAAATATAGAAAAAGAACTTGAGATGTAAAGGAGAAAATTGTCGTGAGCAACGGGTTAGCATGGGGATCAATATTTGAAAGGAGTCTAAGTGGGTTTCACTAGGGTGCATGTTAGGGAGGGTATAAATGTTTCCCTTTTTTCTTCTCTTTCGTTCTGTTATTTTATCGACCAATTGGATGAGATCGGTCTACTTGAGCTAGTCCTGACAAAGTGAAAAGTTGAGGAATAAACGTTTCAAATAGAATATGCGGGACAAACTTCTTACAAAGTCATAAGTTGCGAACCTTCTCTACAATTTCCCACAATATCTTCCTCTATAAAACCCAGATTCACTCCATTGTTTCCCTCACCACAACCCCAGCCGAAAATATAAACTCTCTTGCATTAACAAAACAAGTTTTCAAGTATCTTCAAAATCAATGGCTTCCAAAGCTACCCTTCTCCTTCTTCTCAACCTACTCTTCTTCACATTAGTCACTTCCAATTCTGTCCCATGCCCTCCAACACCACCAACAACACCAACACCAACACCAACACCAACGACACCCACCACCCCCACCCCCAGCCACGGCCACGGTCAGAAGCACCACCCATCGAAGGGCAAGTGCCCTAAAGACACTCTAAAACTGGGAGTCTGCGCAGATTTGCTTAATGATTTGGTGCACCTGGTTGTGGGTACCCCACCAAAAACTCCCTGCTGCACACTCATTAAAGGGCTTGCTGACCTTGAGGCTGCTGTTTGCCTTTGCACTGCCATTAAAGCAAATGTTTTGGGCATTAACCTAAATGTCCCAGTTTCCCTCAGTTTGTTGCTTAACTACTGTGGAAATAAGGTTCCAACTGGTTTCCAGTGCCCATAAACAATCTCCCTATTCCGTAAGTTGAATTAGACGGCACTGCGAAGTACTAAGAAGAATCAGAAGATAAAATCTTGTCCATTGTGGTAATATTCAATTCAGTCTAATACGGCATACTGAATGTACAATTATTCACCCTACATTTCCAGATTCTTTAGGCTTAAGTTTCTGTTCTTTTTGTGTTCTCTGTGTGCTTATATAGTTCTGAGATTTCTCAAGCTTTCTTTTGTATTCTGGTTGATGGCCGTCAGTTCATAATTGTTTCTACATTTAAAGATTACGAGCAGAAGGTTCCTCGCCTCCTGTGGTTGTATCGTCAGTTGATGACATTGTTATTAGCAATAAAATGGAATGTTTCAGAAAGATTCACAACTTTCATAGTTTAGGACAATGCTATAAACCGTATTGGTTACAATAAATTTGAGATGACTGCTTAAAATTATTTTTGAGCTGTGAAGAATTTAAATTAATTTAGTCTTTAGCAACCGCAAATATCAAGTTTTGATACCCCTTCCACGCCAAAGTTGGTTTATTAAAAGGTTGAACCCCAA